CTGCAGTGGAGACTGCTCAGAGCTGCAGTACAGTGGGAGCACTGATGCTTTGTGGAGGTGTTTGACATGACCTAGTGAGGACGCAGCATGCAGGAACAGATGCTGCCAGGTCAAAGGCTGACAATCTCCCTTCTCATGGCAGGACTTTAAGGAGCAGATCATCCACCACATCACCACCATCACTCTGATCTCTGTCTCCTACTGTGCCAATATAATCCGGTTTGGGATGATAGTCATGCTGGTCCATGATGCCTCTGATTATATTTTAGAGGTGAGTTAAACACTCACATAGAACCACAGAATAGTTTGAGTTGCAAGGGACCTTAAAGCCCATCTCATTCCAACCCCCTGCCATGGGCAGAGACACCTTCTGCTAGACCAGGGTGCTCTAAGCCCCATCCAACCTGCCCCAGGGATGGGGCAGCCACAGCTTCTCTGGGCAACCCACCCTCTCACCACCCCCTGAGTAAAGAATTTCTTCCTAGCATCTAATCTAAATCTCTCCTCTTTTATTTAAACTGTTGTCCCTGTAAAAAGTTGCTCTCCCAGTCTCAAGGTTGTGCTCGTGTCTGTGGGCAGCACTGGGAACTGTGCATGTGTTCATATGTTTTCGTGGTGCCCCACCAGTGGGACACATGTATTTAATGAAAGCACACTTAGGAAGTACCAAACCTTCTGCTCTTGAGGAAAAAAAACTGGATGCAAAGGGACTGGGACACATCCCCACAAGCCTGGTCACCCTTGCAGGATGTGGGAAATCCCTCAGCCCTTAGGAGGAGAACACAGGCACAAGGGACACCCAGCAACGTTTCTTTACAGCTTGCCAAGATGCTTCATTACCTGAAATGGCAGCGGGTCTGTGAAGTTGTTTTCATTGCTTTTGCGGTGGTTTTCATCATCTCCCGGCTTGTTGTTTTCCCGTTAATGTAAGTTGTGTTTTGCTGGTTTCTGAACATGGGTGTTGTGCACTGTCTGAGCTCTGCAGAGGTGAGAGGTGACCCTCCATGCTGAGAGGAGGAAAGGCAAAGAATGGGACACAACAGGTAAGTTCAAAGATTAACTCAACTGGAACAGAGGAACCCAAGGGGAGAAGAACCAATAGGGCTTTAACTTAATTAATTTATTGTATTAATTAATTATCTCAATTAATCTAGAGCCACAGCCTTTACCGCTCCATTCCCACACTCTCACTATCTCTCCTAGGCAGGGACTGCCTCTCTCTCACCTGAGGAGCATTGTAGGTTTCTGATAACTGGCCTATCTGCAAAGCCTTATCACATCGCTGGTGATTTTAATCGTGAGCTTCTGTAGGTTCTCTGGGATGTGGGACGTGCTTTGAGGGAGCTGGGCAGAGTGTGAAGCCTGGTGGTTCAGTCCTGGCACAGCTCAGCTCTGCCCTGGGGACACACCAGCCAAGTCGTTTCCCAGAAAGATATTTGACCCCTGTAAGTGTGAAGACACTTGGCCTGCTTTAGTCTTGTGTCTTCTGATTTGCTTCTCCCTCTTTCCCACAGTGTATACTATTACTTTGTGACCAAACTTCCATTGTTCCCTGTAAGCTGCCTGCTAAATGCTTTCCTGGTGGTCCTGCAGTTGTTACACATTTTCTGGTCCTATCTGATCATCCAGATGATCTTCAGTGTCATCCTCCGTGGTGAGGTATGAAAAGTCTTTGTCTCCTTTGTGCCACCACCACTCATGAGAGACCACGAGGTCCAGGTTTCCTGCCTGCTTGCAGGGAAGGGGTGGGAGAAATGAGACTGCCCAACAGCTTCACAGTGTGTGGTTTGGGAGATTGAGAATCTGTTGGTATGTCCAAAGTGGAGTAAGGAAGGAGCAATCAGGTAAGCCTGGTAGATAGCACTCTGTGTATTTGCATCTCTGAGTTCTGGGTGCCTTCCACAGGCTCTTGATGCATGCCAGGGCTTGTTTAGAGATCACTGGCAGAAATGGTGTCATCAGAGGGGGCAGCTCCCTGGCCTGGCTTGCTGGAGTAAGCAGAGGACACTGTGGGAGCATCTGAGAAGATTTGTGAAAACTTTGGGGATCTGTGGCCAGCAAAAAAACCCCCCACAGTGTTGGTGCTATGCCTTCAGTTTACCTTGAATTACCCCTTTATCAAAGCTAAATTACAATAAAAGCAGTTTTTTTCTGAGGAAATGATGGAGAATATGCTCACTGAGGTTGTAGAGAGTTGCAAAACAAGGAGCCCAGTCCAAACAATAGCTGGACAAATATGTGCTGACTTTCACAGCTTCAACAGTAATAAATTGCACAGGAAAATATGCAGAATAACTACATGTAGAATAAATACTGATTTTCAGAAGGTCATATTATAAGAACATTACTAAGGTGACCAAAAAAAACCATACAAAAGTTAGGTGAAACCATAACTCTGTCAACCTCTGGCAGCCTGAGTCCATCTCCCAGCACAGGGAAAGTTGTAACACTGGCTTTAAGGACATGATCACACCTGTTATTATCATTTTAGCTGCCAAGTTAACCCCTCAGGGCTGTGAATGAAAACAGGACTAGTCCTCTCTTATCCACCTCTCTATATATGAGATATGTATATCATATATACCATGATATAAGTTTTGCAGCTCATTTCAACTGACTTTCTTTTCTTCAGAAAAGACAGGATGCCAGAAGTGACACTGAAGAGAGTGACAGGAGCGAAGCAGAGGATCCAGCAAAGAACCAAGAATAACACAGGGCTTGCTGCAAACCACCAGGAGCCAGGCAGACTCTGGAGTGCAGGAAGGCTGAACAGAAGCTGGGGGAGAGGCCAGACAGGCTCAGAGGCTTCACCACAGTCTGCCTGAGGCAGCATCCACTGTCTAGGTAGAGGTGAATTTCTTCATCATGTTTATAGGCAGTTAAGTCACTTCAGGAGATATTTTCTACAATTCTCTTGTTGGGACCATTCTTTTACTACTACTCTATGATCCTTCATGTTGGAAAAAGAAAGGGTCTGCCAGCCAAAGTCTCAGTCTGAAAAGAGAAAAGGGGTTGAACGAGCTGCTGAAGTTATGACACCTATCTGCACTTATCTCAAAGTCTTCCCAAAAAATTCATGAGATAACAAATTTCAACTGTGGAAGATTTAAATTATTTGCAATTTCAGAAAACAAACAGTGGCATTGTCTCCAGCCAACTTATGAAAGGATTTTGCACGCGAAAGGCATTGGCTTAAGTGGCAAATAAGTTTTCACTTCTGTAGCATAAAATGGTCAGGCTCTGGGATAAACCATTTCTGCAAATAAAGCCTGGACAACTGATAGAAACTGTGTTTGCCGTATGAATTATACAAATTAGCTCATGGGCCTAAAACACATTGCTACTTGAATGTCTGCACAGGAAAAAGCTCCTGAAATTGAAAGGAACTGAAACTCTTCCAAATGCACATTTTTCTACCAGAAATTATAATTATAAATAATAGATAAAAACTTCCCATATGGCTGTATTAATTTTGTTAAGATTTCATTTCCAAAATTGGATAATAGGAGCATTACAATACTAACATTTTAAGAGCATAGTTTAGGAGTTGGATGATGTTTCACCTTGCAAATTACTGCATCTGATTTGATTTTCAGAATTTATAGTAGAACATAAAATTTAAAGTTAATGTAAGATATTAATTACACCTAAACCAAAAAGCTTGGTTTATGTACATTTTGCATGATGCAGGAGGTTTTTAGAATATCAGAACTTATGTCAGCAGGAGAATCTTCTTTGAAACTTGCTGGAGGTCTAAGATCACATAACTGAGAGGCTGAACCACTTTCCCCTGAAGCACTCTGGAGGTCAGGTCTGCAGGCTGCAGAGCTGCAGGGCAGGCAGGCACCATTCTGTGGGGCACCAGCCCTGAGCAGGATGTCACCTCACCCCCAATAGCTGCACTTTGCTAGGGGCACGAGACCCTTCAGGAAACCCTGGTGTGTTTGCCCAGGAGTTATTTCACCCTGTCCACTGAATACAAGGCTTTCTTTTAAAGCTTCAAATGATATACAATAATCAAAGCTTTTAAAAGACTTACACGGCCTCCCGGCCACAGCCAGCCCCTGTGCACAGAGAACACACCTGAGAACACTCTGCCAGCACAGATGCAGTAACAGGGGCAGTGCAGCACCCAGGTCCGTGCTGTTGCAATCTCCCCTTCTCAGTCAGCCAAGCAGATGTTGTGACATCGTTGCTCAGGAAGCCTGAGCACCCTTGGAGATCAATCCCATGCTGCTCTAAGACCATAGTCCTGCCCAGCAAACCCACTTCCTTACACACAGTCTTTAGGTACAGCTACGTGCTCCTTGCACCCTCATTTCAGTGCTCTGGGATGGAGATTTTTGCTCTGAGTCTGTGCAGCAATTAATCTAACGAGGACTAAGCATACTGAAGCAAGTCTCTTAAGTGCCCCAAGGTACAAATGTTTGCTATCACATACCTGAATGCATCGATCCAGAATAGCCTCCCTCCTGCTGTGGTGCTCTCCAGCCTAGAATAAAGGTAATTTTAGCCACAGTTACATAACCTGTGAAACTTTCTTATTTCAGGCTATTGATATTGACTGGCTGTGGCTTGACTACAATAGTTGTTGGGGGGGGGGAGGGGGTGTTTTTGCTCCATCCTAAATCACTATGAGCTCATAATCCTGCTGAAGATTCCCCTAACACGCATTTATTTTTTAAATCCTACAATATTTTCTAACACTGATGCAGTGACTTTCCTGTCTCTTCCTGCTGTTCAAAGGACAGAGAGCCACAGAAGTTCAAGGTCAGAGCAGCCCTTTATTTAGCAACAAGCCTGAGGAGTTTATGTACCCTTTTCAATAATGACTTGCAGCCTTTGTGCAGACACGAAGTTCTCACCGGTTTTTGCTTCAAGTTCATTTGTAGAAAAAAAAGATAAAGTTACAAAAGAACAAATTTATTTTCAAAATTAAAAAATTTCACAGGCCAAACTTGATGCAATCTAACTCCCTTCAGCTGTAAAGCAGATGACTTTTTGTTTATGGTGGATGTGGCATCGCTCATGCCCACGTATCGAATCTTCGCACAGAGACACAGCCGCGAATGGGAAGGGGGCAAGGGAGTTTGGTATCAATGACCTGGCACACATTGACGTAGGGATCAAAGAGGACCACAGTGGGCAGGGCACTGTTCCCCTTCCTCTGGCCAAGGAGATAAATTCGTCCATTCACAGTGCTGCAGCCCATGAAGAACTTCTGGGTCAAGCACTCCTCATTCACCTGGGTCCATTCATCGGTCTCCACATCAAATCGAAAAGCTCCCCCTCCTATGGTGTACAGAGCCCCATTCAGGGACGTGATGCAGAGGTCATACCTGGGAGGGAAGAAACTCTTGATCAGAATCAGCAGAAAGATCTGGCCCCTGAAATATTCAGTGTGATCGGGATCCTCAAATGAAGAGTCCCATTTAAACAGAGAATCACAGAAGTGTTGCAGGGACAGGACTTCGGGATTTCTACAGTCCAACCTCTTCTTGAAGCAAGACCAACACTAGAACCTTTCTTCTTCTGCCAGGTCCCAGAATATTCTCTCTTACCTTGGAAGTGGGGAGAATGAGATGACATCCCAGCTGTCCGTCTCCGTGTTCAGCCTTTGCACTCCATCATATACATGTCCATTCTCATCCAGGCCACAGACCACATAGATCCTGGTTCCCACGCTGACTGCATCACCCCTCTCCACAGGCTGGGCCATAGGACTCATGCTTTCCCACTCTGATTCCACCAAAGGCATGCGCTCCACTGCTGGAATGATCCCCTCGTCGGTGCTCCCTCCAAGCACGTACAGGTAGAGCCCTGCTCCCACTGCACAGTGGCTGTTGCGGGACTTCTTCATGGCCGGCCCTTCCAGCCACCTGTTGTCCAAGCAATTGTAGATGAGCACCCAATCCACGCTGTACCACACAAACTCATCCCGGAAATACCCTCCTGTCACAAAAAGGAAGCTCCCTGGAAAGACAGCACAGAAAAGTATCAGTCACGTGAAAACTAAAAATCACTCCTGAGAGCTGGGGTTCTCATTTCTTCCTGGGCTGTAGTGGTGAGGTACAAAATGAGCAGAGAAAACCACTGCTCTATCAATCAGTTTGCAGTATTTGATTCCTCATCCCCACAGATACACTGGGCCCATGGGATGCAGGGATTCCTTCCAAGCCTGCTCCCACTCTTGAACAGAATCAAGGAAACACTGGTTGGAAAGAACCTCTGGGTATCTTGTTTCCAAACTCACATCTGAAAAGAGACTATCACTAACATAAAATAGGAAGCCAGGGTATTGAACTGCCTTGAAATTCATCTCCAAGCACAGAGATTTCCTAACGTCCATGGATCAGTTTAACTTAATGGCAACTGTAAATCAGAAGTCCCCTGACATCTCTCAAAACCACCACAAAAGACAAGGCCAAAAAAATAACACTCCTAAAGTCAAGTCCTTAGACTCACTGCAGATAAAGCCAGTGTAAGGAGCTCAACAGACTCCATAGTTTCTGCTACATGAAAAGAAATATTCAGCCTTGTCTAGCATTCTCCCAGGACTAAGGAAAACAAAAACCATTCTTTGAGCAAATACGAACACCAACAGGAATGAGGCTTTAGCAATGCTGAGCACAGCAGTTTTACAGCAGCAGCTGCACTCCCTGCAGCAGGGACTCTCTAACTGCTGTTTGCCTTTGCTCAGCCTCCCCTCTCTGAGAGTTACCTACTGCTGCCACTGCGTACTGGGTGAGGTTCCGGCGCTGCAGCGGAGAACAAGCCTGCCAGGTCCCTGTTTTAGGTTGAAAGAGAAATAATTCTTGCTGTTCCTTGTCATGCTTTCCTCCCAGGACATATAAGGTGTCATAGCTCCGACCAGCATAAGGACAGAGTTTTGGATTTTGCCAGCTGGGTGGAGGACAGCTGTCTAACTTCTTTATTAGTCTGGAAAAGATATCTGCCTCTCCACGGTGCTTGCTGCGTTTCACCAAGAGATCGAGGAAAGACAAACTCAGAAAAGCAACCCTGACTTCGCCCACCAAATCCAGAAATTCTTCCTCTCTCGTTGCTGGGTCCTCCGTTATCCACCTCATAACACTGTCAAAAACCACATCTTCTCGTGAAACGAAGAGGTCATCACTTTTTAGGAGCTGCATCAGCATTTCTTTGGGTAGTGCCTTAAATTCCTCCTGGCACATCACATCCCCCCAGTGAGTGACAGCCACATTCATAGCAGACTCATACAGCTCTGTAAAGGCAAATTGCTGCGAGTAGGTCATCAGGCCCAGGCAGTTGGAAACATGCAGCTCTCTCTCCAGAAATTTCTCACACAACAGTTTCACCCTGTCAAACTGAAAAAAATCAGCTGTTTCCAGCAAACTGGTCACATTTTCTTGACCTATAAGCACTTGGGCTGTGCGAGTGAAGTCAAGTAGTGCCTGAAAAGGCACTGCATCGATCCCTTTGATCACTATGTGCTGCTCAGAGCTCTCTCTTGCCCCTCCAAAAAACATGGCTTCAAAGTACCGACTGTGCACGGAAAGCGCCCTGCGGCTGACCTGAAACAGTCTCTCTCCAACCTCAAGAACTGTGTCTGCAATCATTTCTGTCCCAGGTCCCAGCTCCTGTGGCTCCTGTGAAGGCTCCATGCTTGTGGACTGCCAGGCAGTTAAAATTAACTCAGTCTTTATGCAGCCCTTAACTTATCTGAGGTCTCTGGAAACACTATCCCCCTAGCTAGAATAAATATGAGATAAGCCAATCTTCCCCTAAAAATAGAATGTTTTCTACTCTCCTGCTT